GATCCGGCCTCCGCGCCGACGGCTCGGTGGCCAGGCTCCGCGAGGGAGCGCCTCAGGTCGCCGACGGAGTGCCCCGGCCCCGGGAAGAGAACGCCGAGGCCGTGCCGGAGACTCAGGAGGCCGGCGTGGCGGCATCTCCGGAAACCCGGGATGCCAGCGTGGAGGCAGCGCCGGAGACCTTGGAGGCCAGCGTGGAGGTAGTGCCGGAAACCCGGGAGGCTAGCTTGGAGGCGGCCCCCGAGACCGTCGAGGTGGACGTGTGGGTCACGGAGGCGCTGCTCGGGCTGCCCGAGGCCGCCGAGCGCGAGCTGGAGCTGCTGCGCGCCGGCCTGGAGCACCAGCGCGGGGTGAACGAGCTGCTGCGGGGCCGGCTGCGCGAGCTGGAGAAGGCCCGCGAGGCAGCGGTGGCGGAGGCTGTGGCTTGGGCCCGGCCGTGCGAGGTCGCCACCCAGACACCGTGGAGCTGCGCCGAGAAGGCCACGCAGACCGAGACCTCCGCAGACGCCCCCTCCCTGACGCCGGAGAGCCTGCCTGGGCCCGCGGAGGGGCCCCCGGCCACGGCCCCCGCAGGTGAGTCCCGACCCATCACTGCATCCTGGCCTGCCCTTGCTGGCCGCCAGGCCTGACTCAGTGCCCCTCTTTGCACCCTGCCAGGCGCCCTCAAATCTATCATGAAGAAAAGAGACGGCGCACCTGGCTCCCAGCCTAGCCCTGGCCCCAAAAGCCTGCAGTTTGTTGGGGTCCTCAACGGAGAGTGAGCACCTTCCCCTTCTCGGTGACAGCATCTGGGGGCATAGATCGGGATTTGCATCCCGGCTCTGCCCCCTTGCTCGCAACGTGATCTTGGAAAGCCTCAGTGTCCTCATCTGTAAAACGGGAACAGCCACCCTCACCTCGCAGGACTCCACGGCGAGCCCCCAGGGCAGGCTCAGCAGACGCTTCCCACCCTGCCCCCAGGTACGAGAGCTCCTCCAGCGAGGATGCCAGCGACAGCGACAGCGAGGATGGCGCTGCTGAGCCCCGGCAGAGCAGCTCCTCGGGCTCGGGAGACGACAGCGGCGGAGGACTGGATTCGGGCATGGCGGGCCCTCCCAGCGGCGGGGAGGCGGGTGACTCCGAGGCGGAGGCGAAGGCTGAGCCTCAGCCCGGGGCGGATGGGAGGTGAGTGGCGCCAGGTGCCCGGTCCCCGCGGTCCCTTGACTCCTCCTGAGCGTCCCCTCTCCTCCTCCGCAGGTGCGAGCTGAGCCCACGCTTGAGGGAGGCGTGCGCAGCGCTGCACCGGCAGCTGAGCCGGCCCCGCGGCGTGGCCCGCGATGGCGTGAGTGCGGGCTGGGGGGCTCGCGGGCCCCACCGGAGACCTCCCGGATGCCCCTTTAGGGGAAGCGTGCAAGTTTTCTAGAGAGGGGATCGCAAGACCCGTCTCCTTGCGCCTGGGACCTCCACTGCCCCAGGCTTTCCAAAGGGGGCCGCGCCCAGAGACGCAGGCTGACCTTCCCCAGGCTCCCCAAAATAGGTCTGCCCCCAACCCCACTGCCGGAACCCCCAAGGACAAGCGCTTAACCGTCTTCCTTCCCTCTAGGTTCTCCAACAGGTTCTTTCCCAAAAGGAAAGAACCCCGCCCCCTCGAGCCCTGGACCCCCTACTGACTATCCCCTCCCTGAAATGGGTGCGGTCTCCCATGCCCCTCCCCCCCGACAAGGAGTGATGAAAGGGCCTCACCAGTCCGGCTCCCAGGCACCCCGACCCTTGCCTCCGCGCGGGGATCACCATAACGCGCTTTTCCCCGGTCCCCGCAGGGCGCGTCGCGCCTAGTAGCCCAGGAGTGGTTTCGAGTTTCGAGCCAGCGGCGCTCTCTGGCGGCGCCCGTGGCCTCAATGCTGGGCGCGGTAGCGCGCCTGGGACCCAAGCTGCTGGCACACGTGGTGAACCTGGCAGACGGCAACGGGAACACGGCTCTGCACTACAGCGTGTCCCATGGGAACCTGGCCATTGCCAGCCTGCTGCTGGATACGGGTCAGCTCCGGAGGGAGGGGGGCACAATTTGGGGGCAACGGAGGGGAGGGACTGGGCAGGTTCGGGCTGGGAGAACTTGGAGAAAGGCGGACCAGAAACAGGGCACCGCTGACTCCACCTTAGGAGAGTTACAGAATTCAGTGGGCATGAATCAATCGCCAAGGGACTTTAGACCCCCCTCCACCACTCCAGTTCTGCCGAGACCTGCCTCCTGCTTTGATGGGGAGGGAATACGGGAGGCTTTGGGGTTAGGCAGACCTCAGTTGAGGGGAATTAACTTTATCTGTGAAACGGGCGACTGTGATACCGTGTAAAGCAGTGCTAGCCACGTAGTAGGTCAGTAAATGTGGTCACCAGCAGCTGCGCCCAGGGCCCTCCCATGCCCTCGGTCCTGAATCTCCAGTCCTGGCGCTCACCTTCATCTTGAGCCCCACTCAATGTCCTGCCACCCGCCTCCTCTCCAGCTTCAAGAGGAGATACTTGCTGGTCAGGACTGTAACTCCTCTCCTGGCTTGGCCACGGGCTGTCCTGGCTGTCCTCCACACCAGGTCCTGCACTGGTCCTTCTGACACGTTTCTGTCACCTGCCTCCTGCTTGCCCAGCCCTCACCTCACCTCTTCCCCTCCCCCTGCAGCGATACGCACACCCAGGTGTGGCTGAGTACCCACTTACTGAGAGACTTCTGTGTACCAGGTGCAGCTGCCATCCCCATGGGATGCATATAGCACAGGGATGGCAGACAGTGGACAGATCACTGCCCTCCAGGAACCCCCTGGGGGCCTTCCTTCAGGTCCAGTAATCTCTGGAGCTTGAGGGTGGGGCCCACTGTCCTCCCCAGCCCCTCCCATCCCTGCAGATCTCGGGGAAGTGAAGAAGGCACAACTGTTCTGGGTTGGACAGGAGCCGGGGCTCCGGAGGAGGGGACAATGAATGAACTCAGAAGTTATTTCCTGGGCACCCCCTGCCATCCAGGGGGCAGGGGCTGCAGCAGGGGGCAGGGCAGGCACAGGACCATTGGTCACCACAAGAGGCCCCAGCCTCCTTAAACCAGTTACCACTTGCAGTCAAAATGATTCCAACTCATGGCGCCCCCATGTGTGTCAGAGTAGAACTGTGCTCCATAGGGTTTTCAATGGCTGAATTTTTTTAAGGAGATTGCCAGACTTTTCTTCTGAGGTACCTCTGGATGGGTTTGAACCACCAACCTTTTGGTTAGCAGCTGAGCGTGTTAACCATTTGCACCCCCAGGCTCCTTGAGCCCCCCTTATTCCCTGCATTCTCACCCCTACCCAGCTCCAAGTTCCCACACCCTCCCCTGGGCCCTCTGGATGTTACCTTGGTCATTACCAACATCCCCTCTGCCCCACCTGCTTGCTGTAAGGTAAACCTCCCCCACCCCTCCCCCTCTATTGCTCTTGAGCCCAGGGCCTGGAGGTGGCTGTGCCCTCCTTACTCCTTACTGCAGTTTCTGACCTTTTTTCTCCTTCTTCTCCAAACCTCCTCCTTGGAGCCCCTTGTCCTGAATCAGACCTTATGCCCTCCTCCCTTCTGGCTGTCATCTCCCCCGACCTCAGGTCACTCATTTCTCATTTCTTTACCTCCTGGCCCCTTCACCCTCTCTCCATCCTTGCCAATTTCAGTATCCTCATGGACCACCTTCTAACCTCCTAGCCTCTCCATTCCTTGACCTGCTCCCCTTCCTGACCTTGACCTCTGCCCCATGTCATCCTTCACACTCCCAAGGTCACCCCCAATACCTGCACCCCCCCCATAAGCCACTTTCCAGCACACCTCTTTTCTCACCTCCCAACTTCTCAGCTCACTGTCTCCAGTTCCAACACTCTTTGAAGCTCATAGGACCATTATCCATTGGCCCCATCTCTTCCCTTGTGTCCTTGCTCCCTGCTCACCGTCCACTGGCCTATCACTAGTTCTCCTTTATGGGCGCTTTCGAACCCCACCCCAGGCCTCTCTCACCTCATCCTCCTTGCCTGGTTGAACCCCAGTGTGGCACCCAGTAGACCAAGTGTTTGTGGAATGAATGAATGAATGTCTTTGCTCCTGTGGAGCTCTCCTGAGTGTGTGTGTGTGCATGTGTTGTGTGAAGACAGGTAATTATCATGTCAAAACATGAAATAATTTCAAATAGGGAGAAGGGCCATGACAAAATAAAACCAGAAGATGCAATCAAGAAATGGGGCATCCTTTAGCCAAGCAACGTCTCAGGGCTGCTGGGAGGGGACAGGAGAGAGGGAGAGGCTGGGGGCGTCCCTGGCTAGTTGACAGAGACTCCACTCTGTTTATTTCTGTATGCCCCCTTCCCCATCCCCATCCCAATACCTCCACTGCTGTCATAGAAGCTTGCGGAGGGAATGAACACCCAGACAGCATAGCCACACAACTGGGGGAATGCCCCCCATTTAGAAAAAAATTTAATTAATTTTTTCCCCATTTTTGACACCGCTTGACTTAACCCTTTTACTCCTTAGTCCACCATCTCAGATACCCCACTCACCAGGGAACCCATTCCATAACCCTAATCCAGCTCCTTTTCCCAACCCCCTTCCTATCTTCCTCTCACATCCTTTCATCCCCCCCACCCCCGCAACAAACTGTCCTTATCCTCGAGAGCTTTCAGAGTGGTGGTGGGGAGACAGGTATTCAGTCAATCACTCCAGTAAATGAGATCCCAACAGAGGTAGGTGCCATAAAGCAGAGGGTTGGAATGGTAAGAGAACTGACCCAAGATGAAACTGAGCTAATGCTTATATTTAATTCTGAAGGATGAGCAGCATTAACCAGGCTGAGGGTGAAAGGAGTGTTCCAGGGGAAAGAACAGAATCTAGACAACACAGGGATTCATGTGAGGCCATGGTGGACAATGGCCTGTGTTCCAAGAGCCACAGGGAGACACGTGAGGGTTTTAAGTAGGTAGGTGATGAAGCCAAACTTCTTTTGAACCGCTGCTTTTGGCTGAAGCGGATACAGGAGACCAGGCTGAAGGCTGGCTTAGATCTCCAGGAGAACAACCATGGTGGCTTGGATGAGGGTGTTGTTAGTTGCTGTTGAGTCAATTCTGACTAATGGTGACCCCATGTGTGTCAGAGTAGAAAGAACTCTGCTCCATAGGATTTTCAAAGCAGTGACCTTTCAGAAGCAGATCACCAGGCTTATCTTCCAATGTGCATCTGGAAGTGGGTTTGAACTGCCAACTTTTCAGCTAGGAGTCGAGCATTTAATCATTTGTGCCCCCCAGGAACTCTGGATGAGGGTGGTAGCCATGAAAATAGAAACATCCATTCATTCAGTCAACAAATGTTTATTAAGTGCCTACTACATGTCAAAAGGCGCTCTGGTGGTGCAATGGTTAAGTGCTCAGCTGCTAACTGAAAGACCAGCAGTTTGAACCCACCAATCACTCCATGGGAGAAAGATGTGGCAGTCTGCTTCTGTAAAGATTTACAGCCTTGGAAACCCTGTGGGGCTTGCTGTGAGTTGGAATTGACTTGACAGCAACGGGTTTGTTTTGGTTTACTACATGTCTTCACCAAATTCTGCTTGCATGTAATATTAGTGATATTGTTCAATAATTTCCGCATTCGGTTGGATCACCTTTCTTGGCAATAGGCATAAATATGGCCATAAATAAATAAAATTTTGCTGAAGATCATTCAAAAGTGGCTGCAGCAGTATATCGACAGGGAACAACCAGAAATTCAAGCTGGATTCAGAAGAGGATGTGGAACCAGGGATATCATTGCTGATGTCAGATGGATCCTGGCTGAAAGCAGAGAATACCAGAAAGATGTTTGCCTGTGTTTTATTGACTATGCAAAGGCATTCAATTGTGTGGATCATAACAAATTATGGATAACATTGCGAAGAATGGGAATTCCAGAACATTTAATTGTGCTTATGAGGAACCTGTACACAGACCAAGAGGCAGTCGTTTGAACAGAACAAGGGGATACTGCGTGGTTTAAAGTCAGGAAAGGTGTGCGTCAGGGTTGTATCCTTTCACCATACCTATTCAATCTGTATGCTGAGCAAATAATCCGAGAAGCTGGACTATATAAAGAAGAATGGGGTATTAGGATTGGAGAAAGACTCAATACCAACCTGTGTTATGCAGATGACACAACCTTGCTTGCTGAAAGTGAAGATGGTTGAAGCACTTACTGATGAAGATCAAAGACCACAGCTTTCAGTATGGATTACACCTCAATATTAAAGAAAACAAGAACCCTCACAACTGGACCAATAAGCAACATCATGATAAACAGAGAAAAGATTGAGGTTGTCAAGGATTTCATTTTACTTGGATCCACAATCAACACCCATGGAAGCAGCCGTGAAGGAATCAAAAGACGCAGTGCATTGGGCAAATCTGCTGCAAAAGAGCTCTTTTAAAGTGTTGAAAAGCAAAGATGTCACCTCAAGGACTAAGGTGCACCTGACCCAAGCCATGGTGTTTTCAATCGCCTCATATGCATGTGAAAGCTGGACAATGAATAAGGAAGACAGAAGAATGGGCGCCTTTGAATCATGGTGTTGACAAAGAATACTGAATATACCACGAAGTGCGAAAAGAACAAATCTGTCTTAAAAGTACAACCAGAAAGTTCCTTGGAAGCAAGGATGGCAAGACTGCATCTCACATACTTTGGACATGTCGTCAGGAGAGATCAGTCCCTGGAGAAGGACATCATGCTTGGTAAAGTAGAGGGTCAGTGAAAGAGAGGAAGACCCTCAATGAGATGGACTGACACAGTGGCTGCAACAATGGGCTCAAGCATAGCAACAATTGTGAGGATGGTGCAGGACCGGGCAGGGTTTCGTTCTGTCATGCATGGGGTCACTATGAGTCGGAACCGACTTGACGGCACTTAACAGTAATGACATGTCTGGTACTGTTCTAAGTAACAGGGGATGCAGCAATGAACAAAACCAAGTTGATGAGTAAAATATGGTGACGTGCCATGGAGAAAAGTTAAGCAGGGAAGGGGGACAGGAAGTACTGGGGGAAGAGCTGGCAGTCTGAAATAGGGAGGACAGGGAAGGTTTCACTGAGGGGAGGTTTGAGCAAAATCCTGAAGGTGAGGGAGGGGCCATGTAGGTATCAGGGGAAGAATGTTCCAGGCAGAGGGGACAGCAGTGCATGGCCGACTGTGACCACTCCCATGATGTAATGCAGCTGCCTGTCTTGGTTGTCTAATGCGGTTGTAACAGAAATGCAAGTGAGTGGCTTTAATGAACAGAAGTGTATTTTCTCACAGTTCAGGGGGCTAGAAGTTCGAATTCAGGGCACCGGCTCTAGGGGAAGGCACTGTCTCCACTCTGGGGCCAAATCAGCTTTTCTAGCCCTGGCGTTTCTTGGCAATCTCCATGGGCCACCTATCTTTCCCCCATTTGTGCTTGCTTCTCTCTAGACTGTTTTTGTATCTCAAAAACCATTAGGTTTAGGACACACCCTGCACTGGTATGACAGCATTCACAAGGAAAACCTTATTTCTAAATGGGATTACATCCACAGGTATAGGGGTAAGGATTCCAACACATTTTTGAGGGGACACAATTCGGTCCCTAACAATGACCTCCAAGGCATGGAGGCAGGTAGGTGGGCCTCGCTGTTAGGAACCGGGCCAGGTAGGGCTGGGATGCTGGCCTCTCAGCTGACAAGCCCCTTCCTGTCTCCCAGGGGTCTGTGAGGTGGACCGACAGAATCGAGCCGGCTACTCAGCCCCCATGCTGGCTGCGCTCACCTCCGTGGGGCGGGAAGAGGACATGGCTGTGGTCCAGAGGCTCTTCCATATGGGTGACGTCAATGCCAAGGCCAGCCAGGTGTGTGGGCACACCCCTGACTCCCAGAGCCCCGTCGGGGTGTCACTCCACTGAGGAGGCCGACCCCAGACCCTGACCTCCTTTCCCCCAGAGCCCACACCAGCCCTGTCCCCCTCTTTCCCACTCTCAGACAGGGCAGACGGCCCTCATGCTGGCCATCAGCCACGGCCGCCAGGACACGGTGGCAGCTCTGCTGGCGTGTGGGGCCGACGTGAACGCACAGGACGCAGATGGGGCCACGGCACTGATGTGCGCTAGCGAGTATGGGCGCCTGGACACTGTTCGGTTGCTGCTGGCTCAGCCAGGCTGTGACCCTGCCATCCTGGACCATGTGAGCCACCGTGGGGCTGGTGAGGGAGGCCCATTGCTGTGGTTCAGGGACCTGACTGTCCCTCATGCCCCTCAGGAGGGCACCAGTGCCCTGGCCATCGCCCTGGAAGCTGAGCAAGAGGAGGTGGCTGCGCTGCTGCACACCCATCTGAGCTCAGGCCAGCCTGGGCCCCCGGTGAGTGCAGCCCTCCAAATAGCCTCTAGCTGCAAGTCTGCAGGTTTGGGGTGGAAGGGTTCCAACTGTGCCCTAGCAAGAGGCCTCCCTTCCGGCTCCCCCAGGGGAGCAGCAGGGGTGGGAAACTTGTATCTTTGATGTGGCTGGAATCTGAAGTTTAACCAGCACAATACCTATAAGGTAGATCCAGTTTCTGTTTCTGAGACTGAGGTCTCAAGAAGAGGCGTGACCTGGCTAAGGTCACACAGGGAGGAGTTGACTGTGACTAAAACTTTGCTCAGATCTGTCAGCAAGTCCCCCTCATATGACCCCAGGGAACCACCAGTTACTGTTGATTCTGACTCATGGCAACCCCATCTGTATTAGAGTAGAACTGTGCTCCATACGGTTTTCAATGGCTGATTTTGTGGAAGTAGATTGCCAGTCCTTTCTTCCGAGGCATCTCGGGGTGGACTCCAACTGCCAACATTTCAGTTATCAGTGGAGCACGTTTACGGTTTGCTCCTACGAAATGAAAAAGGAAACCTGGGGCATGAGGCAGGGTACAGGGAGAGGATGCAGGTCCCAGCAAGTCAGATTCAGGACTGGAAATGGCATGAAAGTTGGCTGGCAGCAGGGAGGGGACGGGTCTAGGAACAGAACATAGAAATCTAACCTGGAGAGAGAGGCTTGTACTTCCATGGACAAGTGCCAGGCTCTGTTCTAATCACTTTCACAATGAAACTCATCCAATCAACCTAACCATCCTGTCTTTACTCCACTTTAGTCACGGGGACAGAGGTGCCGGGGCCAAGTATCTTGTCAAGTGATGGCAGAGGGGGTTCAAACCTAGGCAGCCTGGCTCCACCACAAAAAAGGGTGGGGTTTCTCTTTAGGAATGACCCAGTAGAGGGGGCAAGACCTCCGCTAGGTTGATTGTTCCTAAGTCTTAGGGGTCTGAACCCCCAGCTTCCTGCAGGAGTTAAGACTGCAGCAGGGGCCCTTTCCCTCCCTCTCTCTCCAGTCACCCTTCGACTCCCCCACGGACATGGCTGAAGGACACAGGGACAGTGGAGAGGACCCCCAGCCTCAGTGATGGGCCTGGTGCACTGGACCTGGCTGGGGGTGGGGGGAATCTCCCCATCACCCACCAGCCTCTGGGAACAGCAGGGGCCAGGGTCCTCTATCCAGATAAGTCTTGGCCCCCACAGGAAGGCTGTTTCAGTGTCAGGGAAGGGCTCACCTAGGACCCCTCAGGGTGAGGTGCGCTGAGGAGTGACAGCCCCTGGTTCACCCACCCCCACCCCAACCCTCCTTTCTAATAAAACATTCCTACTAAACCTGTGTCTTGTCGGAGATCACATGAACACCTCCTCCTCAAAAAGGACATGAAGAACATAATTCATGTCACTGAACTGTATACATTAAAAAAAAGTTATGATGACAGATATCGTTCCACGTACGTTTGTTGTTAGTTGCCAACAAGTTCGCTCTGACTCACGGCGACCCCACGTACCACAGGGCAAAACGGTCCTGTGCCACCTTCACAACCGTTGCTTCCAGCATCATAGCAACACACAAGCCACCACAGGACAACACAAAACGCGTGGTGAACATATATATTTACATTAAAAAAAAAATTCTAACCCCCACCCCCAAAACGAAACACCTTGTTGGGAAAGAAGACTCCCCCCATCTTCCAGAGTGTAGAGGGTCAGTCACCACCTGGGGGCCACAAAGGAAGTAGTTTTATACCCTAATGCAACCCTAGTCAGGCAACGCAGACAGGAACCCAAGTTTATTCACAACATACACGCTTTATTGAACGATCGGAGATCATCTCCATGGGCCAAGTGGTCGACCAGATGTCCAGGACCCTGTAAACAGACCCAAGCATAAGCCCTCCATACAGGCCATTGCCCCTCAGAGTCCCTGTCATGTGCGTCTGACAGCGACCCTACATGACACAGTAGTTGCCCCATATGGTTTTCTAAGCTGTGATCTTCACACGAGCAGATTACCAGGTCTTTCCGCCCCCGGAGCCGCTGGTGGGTTCACATCTCCAACCTTAGCAGCCAAGTGCTTAACTGTTGCACCACCGGGGCTCCTAGACAGCCCCTGGCCCCAGGCTAACTCACTGCCTGTGTCAGTCTTGGCAGACCCTTCTACCTCCCAAGATCCTCTCCTTCTGACCCCCTGAGCTTAGTGAAGCTTCCCTCCACCAGCCAATGGTCTAACAGGGGCCTGCCTTCTGCTCCCCCACCCCAGTTCTGCACCCACCAGCAGCAGCCTCAACGAAGCCTCCGAGCCTCTCGCTCTGACTCCAACAGGGTGAGTACGTCGCCCTCGCGCACGGGGCCTTTCACGTTGCGGATGATGGAGCGGCTCGTGTCGTCCATGAACTCCACGCGCACCTACGAACCCGCCGGGGGAAGGGGGACTGAGAACGGGCCACGGATGGGCGCCGCGGCGTGGGGAGCGATTGGGACTTAGAGGGTGTTTCGGGGCTCGGACCGCGGACGGAGAACCAGGGCTCGGGTGCGAGTTGTGGGGGCTCGGATCCCGGGTGGCAGGGCCTGTTGACGGCTTGAAGCCTCCCGGAGGCCCGGGACAAAGAGAATGTTGATCTTCAGATGCCAGCTGACAGGGCGTCGGGTACGGAAGGGGCCATTAAGGCCCAGTCCCCGGGGGATCGTCGGGGCGCCCCCATCCGCTCACCTGCGTGCACTGTCCCTGTGAGCCGGTCCTGCCCAGCACCTTGGTGACCTGGCAGAAAGAAGCTGGGGTCAGACTCGGCCCACCTGACTTCTTACACCTCCCCTCCGCACCCCGGCCCCCAAATCCGGACTCCCGTCTCACTCTGGCCAGCTTGATGGGCTGCACACGGCTCGTGTCCATGATGGCGGCGTGCGGGCGGAAAGGAGTCACGTGTTCCAGAGAGAGCCTTTATGTGACCCTCAAGCCCCGCCCCTACTTCTCTCGCGAGACCACGCGGCGCCCTGCCCATCAGGCCTTGCGGTAGAAATATTACTCGTGCCCTTCATCGCGGACGGAGGATGGCGTCTGCCACTCGCTTCATCCAGCTGTTGAGGAATTGGACATCTGGGGTTCGCGGGGCGGGCAGGGCCGCGCTGGTGGGGCTGTGGGCTCCGTGGTCCCCAGACCCGCCCCCGCTACTCACCTACCCCCTGCACCCCTGAGCCTGAGGTCTTCAGAACGGAGATGCCTCCAGGCTGAGATCTTTGGTCCTGGATTTTTCCAAGGCCGCAACCGTCACTCAGCCCAGGGTCTCCTGGGACCCCCCAACTCGTGGCCCCTTCAGCCCGGACTCGCCCGCCCCACCCCCACCCCTTGACCGTCCCTTGGCGGGGGACCCCCTTAGGACTAGGACCTCCCCAGCCCCAGACGTCCTTAGTTCAGGATCTTGTGGCTCCGGCCCCCGGCATTCCTCTTCACCTCCAGGGCGCATCTTCCTGTCCCCGTCTGTGCATCCCCGGCCTTCCCTTCATCTCTGCATCCCTGAGCCTTCCCTGCCCCCGGACCTCCGAACTTCTCCTCGGGGTACCTGCAGTCTGACCTCATTCTCCTCCTACAGCAAAACCTGCAGGCGAAGCTGCAGCTGCGCTACCAGGAGATCTCCAAGCGGTGAGCAGGCCCAGCCCGCTGCCCAGCTCCCGGCTCTGTCCTGCCCATTTCCCACCAAACACAAAATCCGTGTCCACTTAAGACCCCTGAGGCGGTGGCTCACATCCTACCCCCAGCCCCCCGGCAGCCTTTAACGTTGGTGGACTCCCTATCGGAGACCGCTGCTCATGAAACAGCCAGGCAGGGCGCGCGTTCTGAGTGTGAATCATCAGTAGATTTGCAGTCCTCAGTGTGGCCCTGCCAGTTAATATTCTTATCTGCATGCTACAGATGAAAAAACTTGAGGCTTGGAGGCACTAAATCATTTGCCTAAAGTCACGGAGAAACTGTTGTCGTTAGGTGCAGTAGAGTCGGTTCCGACTCAGCGATCCTATGTACAACGTAATGATACACTGCCCGTTCCTGCACCATCCTCATGGTAGTTGTTACGCTTGAGCCCATTGTTGCAGCCACTGTGTCAGTCCGTCTAGTTGAGGGTCTTCTTTTTCGCTGACCCTCTACTAAGCATGATGTCCTTCTCCAGGGCCTGGTCCCTCCTAATAGCACGTCCAAAGTATGTGAGACAAAGTCTCACCATCCTCGCTTCTAAGGAGAATTCTGGCTGTACCTCTTCCAAAACAGATTTGTTCATTCTTTTGGCAGTCCATGGTATGTTCAGTATTCTTCACCAACACCATAATTCTTGGGCGTCAATTCTTCTCCGGTCTTCCTTATTCATTGTCCAGCTTTCGCATGCGTATGAGGCGATTGAAAATACCATGGCTTGGATCAGGGCCACCTTAGTCCTTAAAGTGACATCTTTGCTTTTTAACACTTTAAAGAGGTCTTTTGTAGCAGATTTGCCCAATGCAATGCATCATCTGATTTCTTGACTGCTGCTTCCGTGTGTGTTGATTGTGGATCCAAGTAAAATGAAGTCCTTGACGGCTTCAGTCTTTTCTCCATTTATCATGATGTTGCTTATTGGTCCAGTTGTGAGGATTTTTGTTTTCTTTATGTTGAGGTGTGATCCATACTGAAGGCTGTAGTCTTTGATCTTCATCAGTAAGAGCTTCAAGTCCTCTTCACATTCAGCAAGCAAGGTTGTGTCATCTGCATAACACAGGTTGTTCATGAGTCTTCCTCCAATCCTGATGCCCGGTTCTTCTTCATATAGTCCAGCTTCTTGGATTATTTGCTCAGCATACAGATTGAATAAGTATGGTGAAAGGATACAACCCTGATGCACACCTTACCTGACTTTAAACCACACAGTATCCCATTATTCTGTTCGAAAGACTATCTCTTGATCTATGTACAGGTTCCTCATGAGCACAATTAAGTGTTCTGGAATTCTCATTCTTCACAATGTTATCCATAATTTGTTATGATCCGCACAGTCGAATGCCTTTGCATAGTCAGTAAAACACAGGTAAACATCTTTCTGGTATTCACTGCTTTCAGCCAGGATCCATCTGACATCAGCAATGATATCCCTGGTTCTATGTCCCCTTCTGAGTGCGGCTTGAATTTCTGGCAGTTCAGTGTACTGCTGCAACCACTTTTGAATGATCTTCAGAATTTTACTTGCGTTATGATATTGTTCGATAATTTCTGCGTTCTATTGGATCACCTTTCTTTGAAATAAGCAGAAACTAGAAAGTGGCATAGCTGGGTTTTGGACCCCAAAGTGTCTTGATTCCAAACTCATTTATGTCTAAAAATTACTTGATGTTTATGGAGCCCTTGCCCTGCCTTCCACCTCAGCAATACCATTGTGAACAAGAAAAGCTTGTATCCGCAGTTCTTTCATGGAGCTCACATCCTAGGGAGAGAGAAGCATAGGAGAGAAATAACATGTGGGGGTGCCATTGTTCTGGGATGCTGTGTAGAAAAAACAAAATGAAGGAGAGTGAGCAGGAGTGTGGGCAGGTGACTGAGAAAGGTCTGTGCTCAGGGATTGACATTTGAGTTGGGATCTGAATGATGAGAAGGAGCTAGTCACAGGGTAATCATTGAAAAAGCATTCCAGGCAGAGGGAACAGTAAACTCCAAGGCCCTGAGGCTTCATGGAGCTAGAAGTAGAAAGGAGGCCATCGAGGCTGAAGCACAGGAAGGGAGACAACAGCAATACCAGTACCAACTGCTGGAGTCAACGCCAACTCACGGTGACCCCCTGTGTGTCAGAGTAGAACTGCGCTCTATAGGGTTTTCAATGGCTGATTTTTTGGAAGTAGATCACCAGGCCTTTCTTCCGAGGCACTGCTGGGTGGACTTGAACCGCCAACCTTTTGGTTAGCCGCTGAGTGCACCACATTAACTGTACCACCCAGGGACTCCAATAGCCGTATCTGAGGTAGAGGATTAAGCAGAGGTGAGGCAGTCTTTAAGGTTTGTTAGCACAGAAGGATGAAAAATAGCATTAAAATAACCAAGTTTATGTGAATATCTACATGTAACTAATTCCAAATCAAAATATTGAATTGCTTTTCTAGCAAGGTGGTTGGGTGAAAAATACATGGGCCTGTGAAGGAAATGGTTTTATAAAATTTTAAACTTGGAGCCCTGGTGGTGGAGTGGTTAAGCACTCAGGTGCTGTCCAAAAGGTCGGCAGTTCGAATCCAGCAGCCACTACTTGGAAACCCTGCAGGGGGCATTTCTACTCTGTCCTGTAGGGTTGCTATGAGTCAGCCGGGGTTTGGTCTTTGGTTTTTAGGGTAACAGTGCCCTCTAGTGGTTCATTTGGGGGACTTTTTGCTGTCAGGCACTGTTTGTTGTTACCTTTTCTGTCCTAGTGCAAACAGCCAACTTGCTCTCCTGCTAACTGAAAGGTTGGAGGTTTGAGTCCATCCTGCAGTACCTCAGAAGAAAAACTTGGCAATGTGCTTCCGAAAAATCAGCCATTGAAAACCCTGTGGAGCACAGTTCTACTCTGGCACACACGGGGGCGCCGTCAGTCGGAATGCGCTCCACAGCAACTGGCTTTACTGGTGCCAGATGCAGGAAGCTGTGGCCAGTGTGCGGTCATCTTTGCGCTTCAGCTGTTAAGCAGATCTTGACTTTCACACACCATATCAATCTGAAAGTTTTTATTTCTCATTTTTTAATACAATGAGGGCCGCTTGTTTTAAGGAAAAAATCTTAAATCCTGGCAAAATGATTACTAGACAAAAAAGTTAACGTATGTAAATGAAAACCTGACCTCTTTATGACTTTTCCTATCTTCTCCGCCCTCCGCCTCTCTGCTGTGTTTTCCAGGAAAGCTCCTCTGGCCAATATTTTGTCTCGAGGTGAGCATTTCCCCTTAAGGCCTCAGGCGTCTTTGTAAATCCAGCCTGGGGTTTAGCTGGGCCCAAGCCAGGACAGTGCCATTCAGCCCCAGTCTGGCTGCTGCAGGAGTCCTGGTGTCTGACTGTACAGTGGCAGGGGATTGCGGAGGTCTGGGCCCCAGCTCCAAGGACTGGGTGCGCCCAGCTCTTTGAGTAGGAAGACTTGATCCCAGCAGGGTGCTGCAGAGAATTCCTGAGATAACAGGAAACGCAGGGGTTCTGTCGCCTGGCCTTGGGGGAAAAGGCCGCTCACAGTGGTCTAAGCCTGGGGCTGTTGCCGAAGTGTTTATGGCTAGGTGGTGGTCGGAGCCTTGCGCTCTGACCCTCATTTCCTGAACACCTGCGGGTGGAGGCGAGGCCAGCTGCCAAGCCCTGGGCTGTAGGAGCAGGAAGCAGGCCTAGATGTCCAATCTGGGCTTCCTGGGTCCCTGAGAGACCTCATAAAGGGCCCTCAGTACTCACCACAATCAGGGCAGATGGGGAGCTGGGGTGAGACAGACACGGCCCTTGCCTTCCAGTACCTTCCATCCAGAACCGAGGTTACCAGCTGCTTCTGGGCCCTGAACCCCTCCCTAGGCATATATCCATGATAC